CCTGGTGTTCGAAAACAGTTTCAAAGGACTGTACAAACACACTTGCCATTACAAAAGAATGACAAATGTTTTACTTCAAAACCAAAAACAGTTACAATATATTCTAAGGCACTTGTGAAAACAAAGTTGTACCTCGCTGGACACACTACGTGTACTAAACTTTCAAACCTGAGAAAGTCTTTAGAAAGCATATCTTGTTGAAATATTCTTCACTGCAATGCGCTCCGTTTTTTAAATTCTAAAAGGTTTCAGACATGTGTGTGGCGTCTTGTTACCAGATTAATATGACTTACAGATATATATATATATTAAGTGCGGGGGAAAGATTACTCATTTTCATTTTATGAAACAAGCTTTTCAGCAATATGTATATCTGATTTCAGATACGTCATGTTTTCAAGTTTCGAATGTAGTATTACACGCATATAAACAGAATCTCGGTTTACGTGCCTACATGTATGTACCTTGTCAACTTTGCCATTTACTGACTCGGCTTTTCCTATAATTTATGGATCATATCTTTACAATACTTACTCTACTTTCTGCGGCGACGTGATTTGCATTGCAGAGGAATGTTGTGGTTATAAACACCACTTTCGTGATAGGTATTGACCATTTAAGTCTACTTTCAATAAATGACATTTCATAAACACCCACCTGTGGCTAATCCTATCTTGCATGAAACATTTAGTTTACACAGAGTGGACGTACAGGAGTCCAGTATACTTCTCCAATCTGGTTAAGCAATGTCTTCTTGACATACCCGGTGAAGAGAAGACTAGAGGAATACTGGATTTGAAATCTTACAGTAAAACCCCGTTAGACCGGACAACCTCGTGGCATTAAATTCCGGTTAAACCAATGTCCGGATTAATGAAACATTGTTATGGAGTAATTATGAAAAAATACTTTCGATTTCTCAAGTTCTACATTTGCTGTTTTGTCATCAGGTCAAATGATAATACGCGTGCATCTGATCTGATTTAATGATGGCGCCACTGTCTACCCTGATAAATGTTAACGAGAGGATCTAAATTAACTGCTCTGATTTCTCTAATCTTGGTAATATGAAGCACAGTGTTGTGAAGAATAACAAATATTGCCAATGTAGGGGTAGGGTAGATTCCACCGATTTCTATTTTCACACATACGCACTGAATTATATATAATTATCCTATAGTAAATATGATAATATTTGTCTTATGAAAGAGATTGTGTCCATAGTCCATTTGTCACACAGGTTATTATACAAAACACATGGTTGATTGCACTTCTAACATTATTCAAATTTCTTGGCAGTATAAAAGACACGAAATGGGAAAAAATAGAGTATCACATTTTTATTAAGTTTATAAAATGTCTCTTATTTGCATACTTTCACGCTAACACGCAACAACAACGATGGCACCAAGAACTACTTGCTACTCATGTACAAAAATGGTGATAAGATTGCTGTTGTACAACAGAAGATATAACACCACTCGGGAATGGTATGACGTCATCCTGGAATACGATGACGCCATGATACAATAGATGACGTCACATGCATCTATGCTAACTGAACTCTCTCTGGGTAGAAGAGTAAATCGAAATTATATCGAAAACTTTCTGATAAATAAAATTCTCAAACATAAATGTTTCGCCAAGCCGAATAGCAATTGTTATAAATTTGGGCTTGAAAAGTCGAGGAGATTTCCTGGCTTCGAATGCCATTTATTCAATCAATCAAATTGCAGTACACACTCTCATTCGTACACACTCAACATTGATATCGACCCCATCTTCATTCCCTTATTGTTGGATACGATTGCATGTTGTCATGGTATCATGGGTTCGTCTTCTAAAACATCTGTCCTTATTTTGAGATGATCCCTTGTTATGCATCGCATTTCAACTGTAAGACCATGTCATTCAATGAATACTAATATCTACCACCGCTTTGTATCTTAGAATATTTCTTCATTTTAATTTTCGGTTGAACCTGCTAACAATTGTTAGCAGCTGGAGGGAGAGTGTAGATCCTGCTTGGGTACCATGCAGGCTGTCGAGGAACCGTAAGTCCAGATGGCCCCCAGTACGATTACCTAACTTCAGTTGCTGGTGATCAATATTCTGTTTTAATGTTGACGTGTCAAAGAATAACAATAACTTTTAATGCTCTGATACTAGTTTTAAATAAAAATTGGGATATTCTAGTTCTATATTGTGCTGTCCATCGTGGGCAGCTTGTAATGTCCTATTATATCAAAATTAATGTGTAATTTATTCTGGTAACAATATGACTCAACATGCGGTTGTTTCAGTATAATCCATGTGAGAATGGTCTTTCAATTTAAAGAACAAACTTTTAATGGCGTGATATCTTTAGTATGGATTATTAAGACTGTGCTATTTTCGCTATGACTATTGGTTTATGGCAACATCTGCTCTCTCTCAATATACTGTCACAAGATTGCATTTTATTGCGTGGCATCTATGTAGTTTCGGGTTATATGCGCCTGATCATAACATTCAAACTGAATATTGATATGGACACAGCTTGTAGCTATACAGAATGTATACTATATACACAAATGACATACTGAAGGTTTACGGCATCGGCATAAAGCAAAAACGTATTTGTGTAACTGTTACAACAATGGTTGTTTTCGCTCTTGGTGTTGGTTGGTGACAACATCTGGTCGCACACAATGCTAATTCAAAGTTTGGAATGTCTTTTATTCTGTACTGGGGTTTGATAATTGTCGATATTTGGTACAGATCCGGCCATCCGCTGGCCAAGAAGTAAGCTTAAATGTATGTCGTGATTTTAATCAATTTCCCTTCAATATGAATGTCTATTAACTAGGATGTATTACAGATGGCGTGTCTGACAAATAGGGTGTTTTTCATTTTGCATCGCAAGAGTTGGAGAAAGGCACTTTTTATAATTGACATGTTTTAACTTGAAAAAACTGACGATCATGAATCAAACTATTCAGAACTCCTTTGATTCTAAGCACAAATGAATTTTAAACATGTCTACAAAACGGAAATAAGAATCCCGTTTCATAGCACAGAGAGCAACCGCGCAACCCAATAGAAAACACAAAATTCGCCAGTGTGTTTTATGTTTTAATGGATGCTTGTTGGAATGGATAAGCACAATTTGTAGGTGAATGTATACTGTACACATGTACAGTCGGATGGCCTGATCAGCCTCAATAGACGCAAAGATAACACTTATCATCCCCCACTGTGATATTGCTGGGTTATTGCTGAAAGCGGCGTAAAACCATACTCCCCCAATCGTTGATGTACATGTACACGTGTATGTTATCTTTGACTTCAGTGCTAATGTCGTTATATAAATGAGATACTGTTGAAAGCTGAAACACTTTGCATGTGTTTGTGACGGTGCCACCGGTGGGCTGGATAGATAGATCTTTTGGCGGCAATCTGTATCATCACTAAAGTAAACTTTATAACGAACTCAAAGTGGTCACTTATTTTAGTTCATCATAACCGTAGTTCGTTATAAGCATATGTACAGCAACTGGTCTGGACAAAAAATAAGTTCGTCATATCCGTCAGTTCGTTATAAGCGTGTTCGTTATAAACCTAGTTTACTGTATTTGATAGTGACTTATAAACACATGCTTATGATAGAGTCGGAATGGGCACTTAATAGAGATTTCTTATAATCATAGGAAAAGTTTTGACGCTTTTATTTACATCCATCCCTAACTCATCCAATACCAAGACCTTGCAATGGTGAAGATGAAACCCAGATAAATCCTTAATGTATGGGCGCATGTGGAATTTGATGTAATGTATCTACCTATAACAACCCTACGCTGTTGACAGCAGCGGCAGTGGGAGCTTCTAAGCAGTGCGCAAATACACTGTCGTTTAGATTTGTGATCTTGTGTTAGTCATAGCTGTGGAACTACCGCAGCCTCTAGTATTGTATTATACCTGAGTGACAGTTATATGCTACAGTGGCATTATCTAGCATCAAGCACAAATCACGTGAGGTGTGAAGACAGGCTAGGCATCAGGTCCGGCTGTAGCTTCATCTGCGCAAGATCTCTTCAACCTCGTACCTCCTAGCTGTCAATGTTTCATCAGAACATCGCTATAGATATAACAAATTAGAAGTCTTCGCTTTGTGACTTGTAGCCACGTGACCAATTACAGCACTCGAGCGCATTAATAAAGAGCGTTTAGCGGAGACGTAGAGAGTTCTACCATAAGGTGTGATACGGTGCTTCTGTCGCGGAGCCTGGTAATGACAGACTCTTCATAACCCACTTTACGATTCTATAACAAAGTGTTTACTGTTCAGGCGTCGACAGGACTTGGACAATGATACACCGGTGAGTGCTGTCAATATGTTGTTATGACAGGAACTATTATCTAGTTGGCTTATCCCAACATTAGAATTAGTCTTTATCCAGGAATCGGTGTAACAGTGTGATAATGTTGCTCTTTCAACTTGGACTGAGTTACAATGGCTCAGTTCTTTACTAACCGGTAGGCATTTGTAACCGGGAGTTAAACATTTAAGAGCCTGTATGGTAAACACATCGGTTGACATTGGGACAAAACCCCCAATTTCCACAGATCAATGACAGCCGTGTAGAAGACGGCAAAGCATGAAGAAATATAATGGTAATTTACGGCGTTACCCGCTGTCGTCGAGACCGTATCATGATACCGACAGACCTATCGATTACTCATTCGGTCTGTTTTCTTGAATATTGAGCGGAGCAACTTCGCCTTTTCATGAATCCATTAACTACATCTGAATTTCGAGATTGTAAGTTTGTGACAATGGTGCCCCGCTGCTCCTCAGGCTAAAGTGGCATGTTTGAGTGATACTGCCATGTTCCTGTCAAGTGTTTGTGGTCTTGTAAACTAACGCTGCTGTTGTATACGGTGGCTATGAGCTGATGGAATAGGTTGTAGTACAGGAAGATGCTTAGAAGGTACTCTTCACTATTGCTCTTGCCTTGCAGCATGAAACAGATCCCCTTTACTGTCCCCACCCAGGGGCCGGGTCAGAATTCCAGGAGGGGGGACGTCAGGCTACAAGAGGAGGCAGCCTTTGGGGGAGGCTCGGAACCAACGTCCCCCACGGGGAAACGCCCATCAGTCGAAATACCAGGTAAAGTGAATTTCGCTGGTTCTTTTTGTAGTAATAGTGGTACTTGAACTTGAAATCTATCATTTATACGTATTTTCGTAAATTCGGTGGTTGTGTTTAATGGAAATATTTTAGAATCGATTTCATCGTCGTTTCATTTGTTTGATAAAAGTATGAATACCCTGCTCAGATACCTATTTTGTGCCTTCAACAATGAAAGGAAGGTTTGTTTTAACAATATATGTTGTATTATACCAAATGCATTGTATTCAAACATACATTATTGATATGTTTACCCAATGCCTCAAACCTACACGAAGACAGATTGTGCCGAAGACGGTTCTATCAGTACCATAACGTTTCTTCGTCAAAAACCGTATATGGAGTTTACGGAATTCCAGTTAGCGCGATATCACATTCCATGATGTCCGACGCCATATATTTTGATGTAAAGAAATGTAACGATGGTCCTTGTTTTCTTTTTTAATGGCAAAATGATCACGGGGAATCGGATGTTACACAAACGTAAAGCCTATACACTTATTCAACAAGTTTGGTATTCTGGTGTAGCATCATAAAGTATTTGTTTGTTGTTTAACGACGCACTCAGCAATATTCCAGCTATTCGACGGCGGCCAATCAGAGAGTTATTAAACAGTTATCTATGTTGTATAATCAACATTATGTCATATACCGTGAAATATTGTTAATGTGATACTGGTAAATGGAATAAATGGATATAAATATCTGTATGAAATATTACGTTCATTAATGAGGAATGACTCCGAGGCCAACATTGACTACCATATGACAAGATAATGATAGCCATTGTGGACGGCGGGCATATTGCAGACTGGTCAAGGTTTTGATTTAGATTCATGATTGCCTAAAGGGCAGGGGCTTAAGGCGCAGATGAATGTGTTTGTGGACAGTGGGCACTGTGGGGACAACCCCCCTCCATCGTGTTTGTAAATGCGTGGAAGAAGTCAAGCAACGTGAACATGCGATGGTAATCAAGAAAACGTCGATTGATCCACCGTTCGTAAATACTACATGAACCAGGTGCATTCAATGAAGATTTGACGCGAGCCACAGTTCGCCAGATGACATTTCAAAGGCATGACGTCTTTGTTGCTGTTTGAGATTGTTTACAAAAGAAAGTTTCCAATCTTCAGCTTCATCTAAATCTAATAGAGTTTGGAAATAATCAGAAAAACAGATGTTGTCAAACTGTGCTTGTGCTTGTATACTCTGTAAATATATGGTTCACTATAATGAAATACTAGTAAATCCAATTGCATATCTGTATATCATTTTGCTATTTAAAAAAGTCAAACAAGGATCATCAATACATGTCTTTACAAAGAATCTCTTAGGGGAGTGGGGTTGTGGGTTCGAGTCCCAGTTCGCCCCGATTATGTATTTACATGTAGCTTTGTCAGCATCATATATACCCGTGCTCGTGGGTTTCACCAGAGTGGTAAACGTCTGGAACCTGCATCCGTTTCTTCCCACATTCAGCTGACTTGCAGTTAAATAACTAATACTGTTTAAAAAGGCATTAAGTCCAACTCACTCACTCATGCACGCAACTCGATATAGATTCCATAATCCCCACCACGTCGGCATATCAAGGTGTAACAGTGTAACATATGTCATGTTTTTTGTGTATAACATTAAAAGGGACGTGAAGTCAAAGAGATGCTCTCAACAAGCAAACCTTTTGCAACAAAATCAATACTGCCCATTCCAAGCTATTTTCAAAACAACCTGTAAAGGATTTAATTTGTGGAGGTTCAACTGATGCTCTATTTTGATGAATGCGCCATTACATTGAACGTATTTACAGGCAGCATCCTACTGCATCGTGCAGACTTCTCTGATTTGTTGAGGACAAGAAAAATAGCCTGTTTTTGCAAGGCTTTACATTGGACTCATTTAGATCTCTAAATAGAATGTTATTTTCTTTTGTTTGCTTTTTATTACGCAATGCTTCCCTTGAATGAGCAGAATGGCGTACGATTTCTCCGACCAGATGCACAATTAAATCGATCAGCCTTGTTTATTGTTTCTGTTAGTTTCCTCTAGTGTTTTATTGATGAACCTCTCCTGGAAATGTCATTCTTTTTTCTTACCAGTAATGTTGTCGTATTCAAAGTCTGACAAAATGTCATATCTATATCAAATCTGCCATGCAAACTTGGCATTTTCATATTCAGTTTTATAGATACACTGTAGACAAAATCTCATATGGAACACATTAGCAAATACATAATCAATAACAAGCGTGCTATATTAGTTTATCGTGATTAGGATTTTTCAATATGATTTTCTACGATTCAAATTTGTTCGTCCCCCGTAAAAATTAGGAGGAAACAATATCTTTTCGATCGTCATTTCATAGCAGCTTATTCAGAAGGAATTAAGACGAAAGCCTCGCGCAAACCTGTAGGACACTAATATCTCTCGAGGATGCACCGGATGCAATCAAATCTAATGAAATGGTTTGATATTTGAAACACAAACAGTGTATGACATTGCCCTTATTATCTTAACACACATTACGATGTTCATACACGCTTCCTTTTGTCGTTTAGATGTGTAGATCCAATATAGCAACATAACTGAAAACGAATTATACCAGTTCATGTTTGTATATGAAAATAATCCCTGTTAGATACTTGCCATAATACAATGGAGGTAAATAAGGATATTGATCTCGTATGGAACATCACGTGATGAAACATATCCCTGCTATTAATCTGAGAAACTCGGTCCAGAAGCCTGTATGATTTTGTATTTCTGTATGCATAATTTTCTGTTTTCTATTCGTCTTCAATGTAATGACATTGACATGACATTTAATGATTGTACATGTATTTAAAACTGGCATTGTCCTGTATAATAAATGTTGAAGACCTTAAGTACAATAAACGATTGATCGAATGATCGACTTGCTTGCTTGACTGGCATTCCAGCATACCTTGCTCCGAATCCAATATTTACCCGTATTATCAATACTTCATCATACGCACATCAACACTTTTCTGTAGTTGCAAATGACTATTCCGACATGGGTAGAATACACTCATGTTTGGTATTTGTTCGAGATGTGCTAACATTAAATACAACTGTTATAAATACAATACGTAATACTATTCAAATAGTCGGTATCATTGTATAATTAAAACATTTATGAAAATGGACTATCATGATGATATTTCCATATTGATGGAACAAAGTGTAATGGCAATCAGTAGCTATAATAACTTGAAATCGTTAATCAAACAAGTTGCAGCAATCTTCTTGTGTCATAGTCCCAGTTGCACATTACCTTTTATCACACTGACAAAATACTACAACTGCGGACACCATTCATTGATTACAATCAGTAATTTTATAATTATTTTTACGTACAGATTAAAATAAAAATGCAGTTGGGTGATCCTGGCACAGTAAGGCTGGTAAGGCTGAGGGTCCTTCCCCCATCTACACGCAACCCAGACAGCGAATGGGACTTCTCCCAGGAAGCGCTGCCTGGTCACACCCACCTAGAAGCTTTAAAAGAATGTGAAGTCTCCCCAACACTGCAGCCTTCTGTATTACCCAGATTGTCAGAAGGGTTGTATTCCCGGCAGCAAACCCGGGTACTCTCCCAGTTGCAGTCAACAAATTGGGAGGCACCAAACCTAAGGCACCGAGAACAATGGGGTGTCGGAAACTTGGTACTTGGGATGCAAGCGTGACATTGTGAAAGCGAGGTCCGCATATTTCCATGGTTATTTTCTGAATCTTGAAAATCACATTCGTGTCAAAATTGAGAAAAACAATTCAATGATTAGAATAAAGTAGCAGTAGCAGTATAAGTATTAGTATTAGTATTAGTAGTAGTAGGAGAAATCGTAGTAGTGTTAGTATATGTAGCATTAGTTCTAGTAGGAGAGAAGATGTTACATAATATATGTGTGTGAGTAGAATTGATGCGTTCCTGTCAATTTGGGGTCGATGGGGCATGAGACAATCTTTCCTAAAATGTGTGTGTGTGGGGGGGGGGGGGGGGGGGGGGGGATGGGTGTCAGCAAAATGTGATCCAGCCCAAGACAAAACTCACGCCCCAATCCCCAACCTCCTACTGAATGACCAATCCCTTGTGTAAAAAAAACTTATGTCCTTGGCAGGTTTAGACAGTGCCCACAGTATTTGCTCAAAAGAAGCATGTTTATCTGTGAATAACATATCAGCCATTATCTAATAACGTTGTTTCTACAGAAAAATACACTGACATAATTATCTTGTTTTTAATATCAATCATATAATTCCATGCTCCATGATAAATGGCCACACTGAAAGCGAACCACAGATTGATTTACACAAAGCAGCTGATTGTTCTCTTACGGAACAAATATAACTCATCTCCAATGTCTCTTGGTCTAAAAATAAATGTGTTTGACGATCCTAGTTTTTGCGTCAACCTGTTATAAATAGGCATGTATTTCTATAACTAACAAGCAGATCCGAGTAAGGCACATTCGAAATATAAGAGGCTCAGTTGGTTTTTTTAAGAGATAACACCCTTATACATTTCAGCTGCAAATAGATATTAATCTACCAGTGTGAAACCTTTGTTATATATCTTATTGCATGACTACTTTGTCGTTAAAGTAAGTCTTAAGATGGCCTGAACTATTTTAAGCTTTGGCTTTCTTGGTCCTGTTTACAGAGAATAAAGAATGGCTCTTTATTAAAACCCTAAAAAGTCCAGAGCTTGTGAAAAGAGAAATCGAAAGGAAAATCAATTACTTTATTTAACTTTCTTTGACAGGTCGTAAGCTGACTTATTTCAGTCAATATAGCGAGAGAATACAACAAGATATATCTGTACATATACTGAAGGAGAATGAGAGGGAATATACATGTGTATAAGAAGGAAAGCACGCGTAAAAATTACATGTATTTTAAAATTTTAGTGAACTTGAATTAATTTAATTTCATTCAAAATTGAATCAATGTGCACATATTTCCCAAATGTCATGAAAAATATGACCTATAAGAGAGTTAGATATCTCGAAAATGTCGAAGATGGATTCAATCAACCATGCGTCACGTATCCTTGAGGGGTTTTATATCTATGTATATTAGATTAGAGGCATTGACCGTTGAGGAAGTGATGTTTCATGAACAAGACCAGCCTTCCAGTCTTCGGTGTCAGGTTGAGATCAATGGGTCACAGTGATTGCCAATCCCACGACTCTCAGTCCTGGTCTTTGATCTCTACATGTTACAACGCTATGTAAATAATTCCTGTAGACGTCATGTTTGAACCAGTACATAACAATCTGTCCTGTCAATGTCATCGCCACCCTCGTCAGGTTTAAACAATGTCCTCAGCCGGAACCTTCATTGATAGTTTTTTTCGATCGATATTGGCGTATAACACCGATTGCCATTGATTTGTCGTTTAGGATGACAAGTATTATATAAGATTGGTGTATTTTGTCTCTGCTGTGTCGCCATTGGTCATTGTAAATGTCTATTCGTTTCTTTCGCATTTCTCGCTGTCTAAAATATTTCATATTATATATAACAAGATGGCCAGACCAAATCAGCTACCGATCTTTACTTTACGTGAACCTTCCACAATGTATAGTGAAATGTCTTATTATTTCCAAACATACTACAGAAAATTAAAGACTTTTGAGTGTGATATGACGGCTGCCACCGATGAGGCATAATAAACTCACTTTTTCTTTGATTATGCACAACATATCGTGACGCATCTTCATCAAAATCATCATAAGTATAATGGAAACACGACAGAAGGTCAACTAAAATGCAAGATCAGTCCTTTTAACAAGTAAAAAGATCGACAGAATAAAAGAACATGTGGTGTAGGAAGCCTTTATAAAATGAATAAAGAATTTTTTTAAACATATGTATACGTATATACGATGTCCAAAGTAATGGTCGTTGAAGGAATGCATGTATTTATGCGGTAATGCGATAATGTTAAAGGTGTTATGAAGCAGAAATATCATGTCACACTTTAATATAATGAAATTTATAGGTGTCATAATAGATAAACAACTAAAGCCCGAAGACTAGCTGATAGAGCATGAGCATCTCATTTCAGACGTAATCACTCGCAGTCATATTGTTATTTGAGTGTGTGGGTTGCGTTTAACGCAACTTTTAACGCTGTCAGTGTTTCAGCTACACCATGTCGTATCGGTTTTTGTGTGGAAGGAAAGCTAAAGTGGTGCAGGTTTTAGACGTTTGCCGCTAGGTGAAATCCGCGAGTACGTATGACAAACCTATAATCGTAATCAGGTCGAATCTGATTCGAATTCAATCCACGATCATTTGATTCTGAAGGGAGAAAAGGGCGATCGATAATATTAAAAGATCAAACGGTACATAGTAGCTGTTTCATACCAGGTCAGCACACTGTAATGGGTAATTAGCATTATTTATATATAATTACTTTATTGGGATGATTTATTTAAAACAGATTTAAAAGAGGACCAAACTGTCGATGTGCCAACCCACGTGAAAATAATCATTTTTAAAGGTTGGAAAGAAATGAATTGATACAAACTCTATTGTTATGTTCATATTGATTTGATGCAGATTGGTAATGCAGCTGTTCCTAATCATGTCAACAAAAACATCTTCAAGAGATGACGTATGTAGGGGGTATGACACAGTTTCTATGCCCAACTACGAAAGATGTATTGTACACCCTTAACAGTTCCCGTGTATTAAGTACCGTACTTAGAGGCTGCATTTGAACCAAATACACAACCAAGCAGCATATTTCTGTTGGCATCAAAGTGGGAAGGTATTCTCTGTAAATGAAAATTGGGACACATTTATACATCACAAGGAAGAAGCATTCTACGTCCAGGAGGGACCTCGGAGGGGATTAAATTGAAAAATATTTCGCAACCAACTCAAGCAACCAACTCCATCAGAGCAGTCCACCATAGTTCGTTTGGCTTAGAACTTTTCAGCCACCCCTCACAACGATATGTACTGTAAATGCAGTTCCTGTTTCCTCTTCTTTCTTTTCAGTCAAATATATGTATTAATTGTAAATACGCTTTCTCATTAATCTATGGGAGAGGGCGATGTAAGTTGTGAACTCCTTTTCACGTGAATGGAATATCTTAACTTAGTCATTAGAGTCTCTAGAGCTTCCATGTAATACTGTCTTTATTACAATGAAACCGTTGTGGATTCGAATACTTCTCTGTGCAAGGATAATCTGGTTTCTAAATCATGCACCAATGTCGCACATATCAATCAATGACGTTTATAACGCCAGATGGCTGCAGAAAGGTTGATCATGTTCTCGCCAACTGATACCAAAGGTCAAGTGTAAGCGTCTAGTCAGGAGTTGGATGAATTCAGTGTGAATAAAACACTTGCCTAAACCTCATTATCACAAGGAGACTTTGTTAGAAACATAATTGAACCGACCCTTGATCGTCAAAGTTGACTCAATAAATATAATCTTTTTAGCCTTGCATGTCGATCCCAATCCAGATCCTGTTAAGGTTTGTCAATACATAGACGTCATCTTGGCCGTGTTTGTACGTGGCCGTTAGTTAAAAAGGTACAAGGATCCACGTTTAACGTCCGTCTGAGTCTAGCTTAAGAATTTGTTATCGACCAAGCCATGTTTTTCTCTGTCCTTTTCAGCAGCCATGACACCAAGACAGATGCCACCGGATTGCATGACCATAAATAAAACCACGTTGTAAATGTTGGCTATTATTCAGGTGCCTATGCCCTGGGATCCATTGACCCAAGCTTGTACAAAATTGCCGATGAGGATGATGACTATGACGTCCCGAGGGACCACATCGGCCGCATCTGGTTCGCCGTCGAGTATGAACGGGAAACAGAGAAGCTGCTGGTCACCCTCATCAAAGCCAAGAACCTACCCAGCCGGGTATTGGGGAACGATAATGGATGCGATCCATTTGTCAGGTTAGCATCCAACATTTCTACCCTTTAAGAAGATAATGCTCTAAAACCTATGTTCAGTTTAATCTTAACGCTGTGTCAGCGTTTTGTGTGAAACTGAAACATGGAACTTCTATATTTTGCATCCACAGCATATTATATTTCAGAACATCAGAAACAGATTTATAGTTCATGTCACACACCCCACTTACACCCAATAACACAAGGTTTGCCCCAAATCGTTCACTGCTAGATTGATATGCGTTATTGCAGACGGGTAAAGTGGTGAGTGACAAGTGGCAATGCTGAGTCCCTCTTTAAGGTGTTTAGTTAAATAGAACGTGCATAATTGGATGTGCGTGTTCGTGTGTTCACTGTCGGAGGTGTAGATTTACAAAGTTTGTAAATCTGCTGAAGAGGACTAAGACTTCCATCGACCATGTTTTCATCTTTGATGTTTGCCCTCGCGCGTTGTTTCGTTTATGAAGCGGAAACGTCTTAACGTATTCCCATCTAATTATATGTACCAATAATATCTGTTTTCACGCCATAGGAAAGATCATTCGCAGAAATGTTTAAGTCCCAAGTTGATAAAATAATTTTAAAGCTGTTTCAGAATTTCCGGTAAACTGCTCATTGACTCAATGCAAAATCAGACTCGAGCTATTAATATTTCAAAAGAGAAACACACAGAACAAGATACAGAGGAGAAAATAGGTTTCTTTAACAGGAATAAGCAGGAAATGAGAATAAGGAAACAGATGAGGCCGCAATTACTTTCCAACCAACACCTGAAGCTGCCAGGTCGTGGTTTATTTATACTACGGATCCGAATGGTGAAAGGTTTCACATGTAAGCAGTGATCCAGGAAATGCATTAATGTATTCGTCGTAGAATAGTGTCAGACTGATTCTCAAATGTTAGTCAGATGCCCTGCGTATGCTGCATTGTTTTATATTAATTCTGTCTTTAAAATAGGACTAAAATCCTGGCGACATTGGAAGGAAAGGGTGACATTTTATGAGTTCACTAATCAATACTGAAGACGAATGCTCCTTGCCTGAATTGGATTTTTGAGGCGTATGTTACAAAACGTCGTGACCATAGGTATAGTTACATAAGTTTCCTCAGAGGTTCAGGTCAATTTGTCAAAACTGAAAGCAAATCCTATCTGGAGTTTAATGAATCAACAATATGTGAAATGCTGACTTCCTCATTGAAAACATCTATTTAAAATATGGGGGTAAGACATTTCGGCCAGAAGTAGGCATCTCCATGGGCAACAATTGTGCTCCACTTATTGCTGACCTGTTTCTTCATGGATATGAATCAGAATACTCTGCTCGGATTGGCAAAGTTAAAATTTGCCCCCAAGACGTTTAAGTTTCAGGTTTATCGATGATCTGATCGTCAAGAGCGTCATACAACGCTTGCTCAGAAGCTATAATTCAATCACGGTTACAGCATTCAAGGCCTCAGTGAAGCTTTCAAAAGGGTTTATGGTAGACATGTGGAGGACATTTCCAAATTTGACGCAGTGACAAAAATGATGTCCGATGCAATTCCCTATTTTGACTTGTACCATATGTTGGCGTGTTTTTTCAGGTGAACGATTGACCTGACTTTGCAAGTGTTTATGACGTTTGGTACCGGTGAGGCAGGATACGCTCACCTTTTCGCGAACACCTGATATCATCACTATTTGATAGTGATTCATAAACATATACTCGGCCATTATTTTTGTCACTGATGCGTCAAATTTAGAAATGTCTTCCACATGTTTACCATGTGTTACCATATGTCTACCGTGTTATAAAAACACGTTACACTGAAAGTTGTCCGGTAATGTGTGGTACACATGTCTGCCTTTAAGCCTTTAACATGTAGCTCAAACAAATGAGGATAATGGATTTTATACCCATCACACTCACTGACACAGAAGACGAAACCGGAAAAAACCAAAATTATGCAGATCTTAGACGTATACCACCGCAAGTACGGGTACTATGAAGGAGATTCAAGTATTTCAGACGTCTAGTAAATTCAATAATTGGAGAATAGTGAAAAAACAAAGCCCCTGGTTATTGCTATCTTTTGATGTTCACGTTTAAATACCTTGTGGCTGCGTGTGATCTTCCATTTAAATCTTGTCCATGAACTGGGGGAAAGAAGACAAGTGGTCTATCATGGAGAAACGATGGGGAACGATCCCCTTATTGAACTCGGGTGTTTCTTATTTTGTGACACAAAGTATTTATATCACTATACATTTTTTCGTAGTTGATACTTTTAGTAAATATAAAAATTAGGTCTATAAGTAAAGGCGCCCATACCCTTTCCATATTCATAAGAAATCTCTGCTAAAATCAGAGTTGAGAGTACCGTTTTCAACTTTAGTGAGATATTGTTGTTTTCGTGAATTTATTCTTTATTGAGTATGAGTGTGTTGATGTTGTATCTTGTCTTACTCAGCAATATTGAAACCATATCACGTGGTCTGTAAAGAAGTAGGCAATGCTCCGGCCAACTTGTTAGCCATGGTTATATCTTGCGACAACAACCACACCCAACGTATGTATACACTCACCATAAGCATGAACACATACATTTCTATTCAATTGATTGAGTTGGGTTTAACGCCGCTTTTAACTGACTATCACGGAGTGTCAGCTTAATGTGGGAGGAAAGCCCGAAGTGATGCAGGTCTCAGACGTTTACCACATCGGTGAAACCCACGAGCATGGGCACGGTGCTGACAAACCTAGAAACATAATCGGGGCGAACCGGGATTCGAACCCACAATCATAGGTTTCTGGCGTGCCCAAGGGACGCAACTCTGCACAGCGAATCGCGGCACCTTAGACGACTGGGCCACCCGTGCTCCCACATTTCTATTCAAATTATGGACATCTGAAAAATATTTCATAACAATAATTACCATTGCTCTCATTGCAGCCAAACCGAGCGAAATAATCAAACGAGATACGAATCATCTGCCCCGAGTGACTGAATGTTGTAAGCCTCGAGTCCTTGGCGAGGGACTTACGTCCTTGATACACAGGGGTCAGATACACTATAATCCGTAGTTCCCAATACCGAGAAGGTTATCCTTTTGTCATCTTAAGAAAGTAAGTAAAGAAAAATGTAAATAATATCAACCCTATGGTTTACTAAAACATTCGTGTCAGACTGCGAAATGTTATTTATTTGTGATGTCATAAACAAGGGATGACTTCATATTGTATTGTTCAGAACAATGAGCATTATTCTCTCTTCTACTGACCAATCAACACCAAGAATCATTGAGATGCGCTGAAGTGCAAATGTCGGAGAGTTATTCCACAGCATCTTTCTACCCGTATGGTATTATATATTTAATAACTGATACACTTAAAATACACAATACCAGGAAGTTTTCTTTTACATAGGATTGTTACCACACTGTTCGGCTCAACTGCTTAGTAAATGACGGTATTTGTTATTTGCCAACGTGTTTCAACCATCGTGTGAGATCAGATCATTAAATGTCAGTTGATATGTCACCACCCTTGACAACAATAGTACGCAGGAGAAATCGAAAATCAGACTCGATCAAACACGAATTGTTTCAATAACTAAATTGCTATTTACAGATGCGTTTTATCCACGATCAAATGACTCGACTTGTCTTTAATTGAAAGATGCAAGCAGGATAGCGTTTCTGGTCAATGTTTTCAAAGGCCCAGTGTCAACACTAGCAATCACACGCCGCTTCCGGGAACGTGCAAGTCGTGCTACTGTCGGCGCATGCGCACTGAATGTTATTAATCTTCTGCCTCAAAATATGCTCGAGCTGAGAGTATGATTAGCAGGATGGATCTATGGGTTTTAGTTCCCATTAAGATTATTGTGAAAAAGTAATCATTTGTAAAGGTCATATGTGAAATAGCATTAATCAACTTGAAGCTTGTATCGCACGCATGTGTCTCCCCGAGGGCCATGTTATCAATTCAACAGACTCATGAATATGGGATTCCTAATACAACGCTTGGGTCACGATGGTGGAAACGGCTCAGGTATCTATTTCTCTGTCATGAAATCAGTATATTTTGAAACTCGACGATTCAATGTATACTTTTTGATTTATCGTGAGACTGTGATACAACACACAGAGATATATGGATATGATAATGATGATGATGATTAATATTACTATCAATATACATATTAAAATAAATAAATGCAGCAAAGTGGGTTAGGGTGATCCTGGCAGTCAGGCCTGTTAGGCTAATCATCAGACCTTGCCCCCTCTACACGCTGCCCAGACAGAGAATTGGACTTCTCCCAGGAAGTGCGGCCTGATCGAACCCACCAAAAACTTTTCGGAGAATGTGAAGACTCCCCGACACTGCATGAGCCAGATGGTCAGAAGGGTTGTGTTCCTGGCAGCAAACCCGGGTACTCTCCCAGTGTCAGTCAACAGATTGGGATGTACCAATCCTAAGGCACCGAGAACAATGGGGTGTCGGACAACTTGGGACTTGGGACGCAACTGTGACATTTCGTAAGCGGGGTCCGCATATTGGCCATGTTTTTCCTGATTCTTGTCAATCACATTAGTGTCAAAAGGGATAGAGAATTCAATGATATAATGATATATACATGATATAAATGAGGATGAGGATGACGACCATAACGATGAGTATTGTTGTTGTTACTATGTATTATTAGACATATCCTTTTATACGCAATTTTAAGAATAACGTATTGATATTGACTAATATTGTATACATTTATACATGTTATTTTATAGCCTTAAACAAATTTCGCATTTTGAAGATCATTTTCATAATATATGAAGAATTACTCATATTCAAGAGATGTTAGATTGGTTCGATGCACAAACGAACATACTGTTATGTTGTGTGAACCGACGCACATGACTCGAGATGCACCATTTGTCTCGTTCAGGATTAGCGTTTTAAGTTTGGAAACCACGTGCAGCATATCGTGATGAGGATAAAGACCCTCCTTGTTAACACTTG